CAGTTGGGACTTGATCCAGTGTTCATATGAGATGTCAGTGTCCAGCTGCCGATCCAGATTTCTAATCTCGCTTTTGTATTTATTTATTTATTTATTTATTGACAGGCAGAGTGGACAGTGAGAGAGAGAGACAGAGAGAAAGGTCTTCCTTTGCCTTTGGTTCACCCTCTAATGGCCGCTGCGGCCGGCACGCTGAGGCCAGCGCATCTGCATCGCGCTGATCCAAAGGCAGGAGCCAGGTACTTATCCTGGTCTCCCATGGGGTGCAGGGCCCAAGGACCTGGGCCATCCTCCACTGCACTCCCTGGCCACAGCAGAGAGCTGGCCTGGAAGAGGGGCAACCGGGACAGAATCCGGCGCCCCGACCAGGACTAGAACTCAGTGTGCTGGCGCCGCAAGGTGGAGGATTAGCCTAGTGAGCCGCGGCGCCGGCATCTTATCTCTCTTTAAAACTAGGAGACTTTACAACATGGAGTCAGCATTCTTAAATGGCAAAATCTGCCTAGCACCTCTGAAGGGGGGTTCTTTTGCTTACCACCATCCCCACTATTCCTTCTTGTGCCACTTTCCTCATCTTAACTCATTAATGTTACCTGCTTGGTAGCAGGTTAAGCTGCTGCCTGCAGTGCCAGCATCCCATTTGGGCATCAGTTTGAGTCTCGGCTGCTGTACTTCTGATCCAGCTCTCTGCTATGGCCTGGGAAAACAGAAAAAGATGACCCAAGTCCTTGGACTTCTGTTCCAACATGGGAGACCTGGAGGAAGCTCCTGGCTTCTGGCTTCAGATTGGCATAGCTCTGGCCGTTTTGACCATTTGTGGAGTGAACACTAGATGGAAGACTTCTCTTTCTTTTTCTTTCTTTTTTTTTTTTTTTACAGGCAGAGTGGACAGTGAGTGAGAGAGAGACAGAGAGAAAGGTCTTCCTTTGCCGTTGGTTCACCCTCCAATGGCCGCCGCGGCCGGCGCACCACACTGATCCGAAGGCAGGAGCCAGGTGCTTATCCTGGTCTCCCATGCAGGTGCAGGACCCAAGCACTTGGGCCATCCTCCACTGCACTTCTCTGGCCACAGCAGAGAGCTGGCCTGGAAGAGGGGTGACCAGGACAGAATCCGGTGCCCCGACCAGGACTAGAACCTGGTGTGCCGGCGCCGCAAGGCGGAGGATTAGCCTAGTGAGCCGCGGCGCCGGCCTGAAGACCTCTCTTTCTCTCCCTGCCTCTGCCTCTGCCTTTCAAATAAACAAATAAATATATCTTTTAAAAAGTCTCTTCAAACTCCCAAAGCTATGATACTGGAGGGATTAGTATCCTGTTGCCTAGCAGCTCCTTGGGGATGGTAGTGTAACTGATCCTGGGTGTGTATTTCAAGCACCCAGATGCTGTGCAGTGCTTTTTTTGTAATAACCAGGGGATATTTGTTGCCTGCCCCACTGTGGGGTGAATCGATCACTAGGCAATGAGAGGCCGGTGCCGCGGCTCACTTGGCTAATCCTCCGCCTGCAGCGCCAGCACCCCGGGTTCTAGTCCCGGTTGTGGCACCAGATTGTGTCCTGGTTGCTCCTCTTCCAGTACAGCTCTCTGCTGTGGCCCGGGAAGGCAGTGGAGGATGGCCCAAGTGCTTGGGCCCTGCACCTGCATGGGAGACCAGGAGGAAGCAGCTGGCTCCTGGCTTCGGATTGGTGCAGTGCCGGCCGTAGCAGCCATTTTGGGGGTGAACCAACAGAAAGAGGAAGACCTTTCTCTCTGTCTCTCTCTGTCTAACTTTGCCTGTAAAAAAAAAAAAAAAAAAGAAAGAAAAGAAAAAGAAAAAAAATAGGCAATGAGAAAGATTCTGCAGAAATGAGTGATAAAAAAATGAAAAAAGCAGAAGAGTTTTTGGTTCCTAGAAACAATAGCATACTGCAGAGTCTTTAGGAGCTAAACACAGGCCAGAAAGACCCTAGTTTCCAATGGCATCTTTCATTTTTAAAAAAAGATAGCATTGAGATGAGCGCTATAAACACAGGAGATGCTGGAGAAGGGCAGGTGCCACAGGGGAGAGATGCCTATCCTAATTTTTTAATAGCATCCTGTTATCTGTTAGAAAGCCTCAACATCGTTTCATTCCACACTCCTTTCCTTCAAAGTTATAGATAAGCTATGGATATTTTTAAAAAGATTTTATTTATTTATTTGAGAGGTAGAGTTACAGACAGTGAGAGGGAGAGACAGAGAGAAAGGTCTTCCTTCCGTTGGTTCACTCCCCAAATGGCCAGGACTAGAACCGGTGCCAATATGGGATGCCAGCACTGGGGGCAGAGGATTAACCTACTGCGCCTTGGCGCTGGCCCAGATATAGATAGATTTTTAAAGATTTATTTTATTTATTTGAAAAGTAGAGTTACAGAGAAAGAGAGAGAGAGAGGTCTTCTACCCACTGGTTCTCTCCCCAATGGCCGCAACAGCTGGAGCTGAGCTGATCTGAAGCCAGGAGCCAGGGGCTTCTTCCGGGTCTCCCATGTGGGTGCAGGGGCCCAAGGACTTGGGCTATCTTGTACTGCTTTCCCAGGCCACAGCAGAGAGCTGGATCAGAAGTGGAGCAGCTGGTACTCGAACTGGAGCCCATATGGGATGCCAGCACTGCAGGCAGTGGCTTTACCTGCTACGCCACAGTGCTGGCCCCTAAGCTAGATATATCAACCTAATTCTGATGTCATTCGGACCTGGAGCTTATTCATTTATAAATGGCATTTTCTTGGTAAAATCAATTTTCTAAATCTGTAAAATTGGTGACATAAAATCTGGTATCTGGGGTGGGCCTTGTGGCACAGCAGTGAGAACCCTGGCTCTTTTGGTATCTATCTAGCTTCCTACTAATGTATCCTGGGAGACAGCAAGTGATGACTCAAGTGCTTGGGCCCCTGCCACCCATGTGGGAGACCCAGATGGAGTTCTGGCTCCTGGCTTCAGTCTGGTACAGCCCTGGCTGCAGGCATTTGGGAAGTGAACCTGTGCAAGGAAGAACTCTTTCTCTGTGTCCCTCTACCTTTCAAATAAACAAATAAATCATAAATTTGTCTTTAAAAGATCTGGTATGTTTTTAATTAGAGGCATATTTTTTGAGTACCTACTACATACCAGACATTGAATTAGATGCTGAAAACAAAGCACAGAAAACACGCAGGGCAGACAGACAATAACCAAGGAAATCAATACAGAAGCTAATTTCTCTGATGGGATAAACCAGGCACACACAATGGAGAGAATAAAGGGTGGCAGAGAGTAACTGAAGGGTGTCAGGGGAGGTGATATCTGAGCTGAAATCTAAATGAGGAGACTGCGGAGGGCAGGCAGGAGGAAGGTGGTCCCAGGCACAGCTGTTGTGGGGAGTAACTGAAGACAGCGACAGCTACTCTTAACTTGGACTCAGTAAACAGCTGCTATCCTAATTATCTGAGCCACTTCCTCAGCCCTTTCTAGCCAAAAACCGCAAAGCTGTCTAAGCCATAGATCAGAGGCATAAGTATATAGAAGGGAACTTCAAAAAGCTTTTGAAAAATTGGAATTAAAAGATGTTAATTTTGGTTGCAAAAAAGTTCCGAGATTCACACAGGTTTTTCATAAGCTACATCCTCCGTAAATGTTGTTGCAGACCCTTTGTACGTGTAGATTTCAATTTTTCTGTGTGCTAAAATAAATGTTTCTTTTAATTCCATTTTCCTGAACTTTTATATAAATACATATGTATATAGCACCCAGAGGTTCAGGTTCTGGCATCACATGATTCCACCGCTCTCAATCTTTTTCTCAAGATTTGTTTATTTGAAAGGCAGTGTTACAAAGGGATAGGGAAAGGCAGAGCGAGATCTTCTATCCGCTGGCTCATCCCCCCAAATGTCAGCAAAGGCCTGGCCGAAGCCAAGAGCCTGGAACTCCTGCGCACATGGGTGGCGGTGCCCTCCCGGGCACCGCAGGGACAGGGCGCCCACGCCTATGCCCAGGCCGGTGTAAGCACTAGCTCCCCTAGCTGGAAATGGAGCGCTAGAAAAAGCCCCTCGGGTTGAGTGGCTGCCCATGCACCGTTCCTGGGGAAGTCCTGTTCGCCTCTCTTCCACCGCGGGGCTCATGCCTTGGTCATTAAGAGGCTCGGGCTGATGAAGAGTAGGTGGACAAGAGAAAGACGCAGGAAGGCTCTGGTCACTCCCCTGTGAGGGCCCGTGGAGAGTGGAATGAGACCATGCGGTATCTGGTCCCTCACATTTTTTGAAATCCGATCCGAGGAAGTCTTTCCGTGAGGCGAGAGGCCCCCTGGTCAGAATCGTTGGAATCCGTACTGAGGGCGGGGCGGGGGTCTGCGGGGTCCGAGCGCTCCTCTAACTTCTTAGACTGCTTCCGGGAGTGCGGAGCGACCCCTCAGGGCTGCGAAACGACCCCGCTCGCCCGCCTCCCGCCGGCGCGGGGTGGTCCTGGAGACCCGGCTCGGCCCCACCTTCCGGGCGGGTGGGCCCCGCCGCGTGAGGCCCATTGCCCGGGCAACCGACGCCGTGAGCGGTGCATTGTGGTCTGCAACAAAATGCAAGAGAAAGATCCTGGGGGAACCATTGAGATCGTGGGCCAATGGGAGAATTCCGTGGGCTGCTTTAAGCCAATAGGGACGTGAGGTGGGGGCGGGGCTGGAGGGGAGTAGGGCGGGGCCTGGGCACTAGGCGGTGGCTACTGGCGTGGGGCGGCTTAGATGCGCCACGGCTTCGCTAGCGACGCTGCCTCTTGCCTGGCCTGAGCGGTGTCAGCACCTACCCCAGGAGACCGGTCCGGTCGGTCAGCCCCAGCTCCACGGTGAGAGACTCGGGACGCCGGGGGGTCCTTGCTGCGTGGCTTCCTCTCGCATCGGACTTACCCTGCCATGCGTTCGGCGCGGCCCTAGGGTCCTGAGAAGTGGGCTGGGGGGCGTCGTCCCGGGATGGCGCGGCCCACACCCCAACCCCTCACTCCTTGTCGGGACCTCCCTCCCTCCCCCGCAGGTAACCATGTGCGACCGCAAGGCGGTGATCAAGAACGCGGACATGTCGGAAGAGATGCAACAGGACTCGGTGGAGTGCGCCACTCAAGCGCTGGAGAAATACAACATCGAGAAGGACATCGCGGCCCACATCAAGAAGGTGAGCCGGGGCCGGGGCGCGCCGCCCTCTTGGTCCCTCCGCCCGGGCCCGGCGCCCGCAGAGCGCGGGGCGGCTCGGGTGCAGAGACTTCCAGAAAGGACGCAGACGAATCCTGCGCTCCGGTCGGAACCCCAGACCCTCGGCGCCCGAAGTGTTTGGTTGTGTTTTGTTTTTAAATGGAGCTCGGCGGGGGGGAAGCGCCACCTAGCAACGGTCTCCAGGCTCGGAGAGCCGCGGTCCCCGGCGCGGGGATCTGTCTGGGCGTTTGCTCGGGAGCCGGAGCTGCGGGGGCGTCTGCAGCCTGCAGCCGGGCGGGAGCAGAGCAGAGCGCCAGCCCTCCGCGGGGGAGGGGCGGGGGGCTGGCGCGGGGGCTCGGCAGCCGGCAGCAGGCTGGCCGGATCGGGCCCTGGTCGAGCTCTGTTTGCTGTGGGGCAGGCGGCCGGCAGCCTAAGCCCTGGAAGGTTCCCGCAGAGAATGGGAGAACAGAAATAAATCAAAAGCGGCAGGGCGTGCATCTAGCTTGTAGGGACCTCTTACTATACTTAGAGACATTAACACTGCGTGTGCTACGAGGGTAATACAATAACGTGGAATTTTTAAAAGTTTATCTTGATGCAGTATATTTGAAGTCAATGCAATTTTTAAATCATACTCATTGCAGACTCCTTTCTTAAGTGTTCTATAAGAGTATGAAAATTTTATATAACTTGCCACAACGACGTGTAAGGATTTTAGAGAAGTATTACCTTGGTGGCTCTGCTTGCGTAGTCACCTAGTGACGAATTTAACTAACCCCAGTGCCCCTTGGGGTGAAGGGGGAAAGTGTGTTTCTGCAACTCATTATCCTTGAGTACCAGTTAGTAGATGAGCCGCATCTTAGTAACGTGGAAACCAGGACTGGTTAGGTTACAATTAAGGATAAAATGTGGCCGATTCGCTGTCAGAGTCTGCTGCTTCCAGCATTCTTACAGGAACAGTGGAGTGATTGACTTATCCCCTTAAATTGTGATGCGAAGCTTTGTGGTTTGGATGTTACTTGGAGCTTTGTCCTTCTGGAAGTCTTGTTTTCAGTGATGCAGGAGCGCAGTTAAGAATCTTTCTGATAAGGAATGGGTTCAAATGGATTATTTGGCTGAAATTTACCTATTTTTGGTGCATGGTAAATAAGGTATAGTTCTGTTTGCACAGAATGTGAACTACAACTGAGGTTACCTCCTGCCAGTGACTATTATTAGGTGTGAAGGTATAGTTACCATTACAACAAAGCCCCATTTTTGAGATTGACCTTTCTGCTTTTGACCTCAACTCCCATGCCCATCTTAGCTCAGATTGTAACTGTTTGCATTAATGCATTGTGTAGGCGATTTGGAACTGGGGAACATTCTTTCATTCTGAGAATCTGCAGATGCTAAATACCTCCTTTCTGCCTCTCTAGGCTCTGACTTACCCAGAAGGCAAACTCTTCTGGTTTAGCACTAAAATTCTAGTATTTTCTTTTGTTTCTTTCCCAGGAGTTTGACAAGAAGTACAACCCCACCTGGCACTGCATTGTGGGGAGGAACTTCGGTAGTTACGTGACACATGAAACCAAACACTTCATCTACTTCTACCTGGGCCAGGTGGCCATTCTTCTGTTCAAATCTGGTTAGAAGCATGGACTCTGCCACAAACCCAGTGATCCATCCAAAAACAAGGACTGCAGCCGAAATTCCAAATACCAGAGACTGAGTCTTCAGCCTTGCTAAGGGAACACCTCAATCTTTGAACCTTTATTGTGTTTTGTACAGGGCATTCTCTGTACTAGTTTGTTGTGGTTATAAAGCAATTAGCCAAACAGCTTACATTTGTATTTATTTTCTATTCCATACTTGTCTTCCCCATGTTTTTTTTTTTTTTTCTCTCAGTTCATTCCTTTAAAAAATAAATCTGTTGGAGATGTGTATGTGTGTGTGTGAGCTAGTTTATTCAAGTAACATTGAAGATGTTCAAATAACATTTAAGATGGCTAACCACTTGATCAAGTGACCAGATTAGGTTGGTGAGGTTGAGTCCTTGAAAGAAGTTCCTGTGGGATGTAATATAATAGACTAACCATTTGTCCTCGAGTCTAATTCATACCCATCCTGCAGCTGTGGTACGTGTTGCAAAATGCATGGTAGAGAAGCTTTAATAATGTGGAGGAAAAAACCAGCATTTTGACAGTGTTACTGTTGAAAGGTATTACTGTAGAAACGTTCTGGATGTGTTGCAGTCTTGTCAGCTTTCTATGGTTCAAACGGAAATTAAGCTCACACACTTGGGATAATGCAATGCTCTCGGCCATCCCCCTTCCCTGCCTTGGCCCCCAAAAAAGAAAGTGATTTTTTTTTTTTAAATTTTTTGACAGGCAGAGTGGACAGTGAGAGAGAGACAGAGAAAGGTCTTCCTTTGCCATTGGTTCACCCTCCAATAGCCGGCGCGCTGCGGCCGGTGCACCGCGCTGATCCGATGGCAGGAGCCAGGTGCTTCTTCTGGTCTCCCATGGCGTGCAGGACCCAAGCACTTGGGCCATCCTCCACTGCACTCCCTGGCCACAGCAGAGAACTGGCCTGGAAGAGGGGCAACCGGGACAGAATCCGGCGCCCCGACCGGGACTAGAACCTGGTGTGCTGGCACCACAAGGCGGAGGATTAGCCTAGTGAGCCCTGGCGCTGGCCGAGAAGGTGATCCTAATAGAGAAAATGAGTTTTGAGCAGTTCTCCATGCTTATAAAGTTTTATAGGAATTTAAGCCTGCAGTGTGTGCTTTAGCTGTGGTCATTAATTAACGTGATTTGAAGATTTTTCCACCAAAAGACCTAGTTGAAGCTGGATAAGTAACCTTTATCAGAGGTTTCCTGCTATTAATTTTAGACTGCAATCTTAAGTAAATATGTCAGATGTCTTTTCATAGGTAAAATGAAACAATGCCACACCAGACAGTCCCCATGTCTACTGGAAAATTGCAAGGGTCCTGACTTGGAATCTTTACCTGGGAACAAAGCTTTTTGTTTCAGACTTGGTCTCTATGGTGTGAAACTGGAAATTCCAAGCAGCAAGCAGGCTGCCCTGACATAGGGGGTGATGACCTCATCATAAGATTAGGTCAGTAACATCTCAGAAATTTATTTACTAGAACTTAAGGGTTCAGACATCCTGGTGAAGTTGTGCTACATTTGGACTGGGAGGACTTGAGTAGAGGTTCGTTTATTGCGGCTGTTAAGATGAGGTATTGTGAAAATGAGTCTGTAGAAGGGATGATTTTGGTTTGTATTTACGTAAACAGACTAAATGTCTTTTCTAGTACCTTTCACTTTTTTAAATTAAGATTTTATCTATTTGAGTGGTAGGGCCACAGATAGATCCACTTGGTTCACTCCCCCAATGGCCACAGCATCCAAAGTTGGACCAGATGAAGCCAGGAGCTTCTTCCATGTCTCCCACACAGGCCAAGCACCTGGGCCATCTTCCATTGCTCTCCCAGGCCACAAGCAGAGAGCTGGATCAGAAGAGGAGCAGGTGGGACAGGAACTGGTGGCCGCGAGGGATGCCAACCCTGCAGGTAGAGGCCCAGCCCACTACGCCACAGACCCCTCACTTCTCACTCTTCAGCAACCTGTAACTATTAATGAAGTCCAATAGGAATTTGGCCTGCAAAGCTGTTATCTTGTCCATGTTAGCTTTTTTCCAAATGAATATTCTATTTCTAGCAGAGACCTTAGAGCTGATTCAAGACCAACTCAACTGGACATTGGGGGATCTGGTCCTTATCTACTGTTGGGAAGTTGGCAGCTTTTAACATTTTTTTTTTTTTTTTTTTTTTTTTGACAGGCAGAGTGGACAGTGAGAGAGAGAGACAGAGAGAAAGGTCTTCCTTTGCCGTTGGTTCACCCTCCAATGGCCGCCGCGGCTGGCGCACTGCGGCCGGCGCACCGCGCTGATCCGATGGCAGGAGCCAGGAGCCAGGTGCTTTTCCTGGTCTCCCATGGGGTGCAGGGCCCAAGCACCTGGGCCATCCTCCACTGCACTCCCTGGCCACAGCAGAGGGCTGGCCTGGAAGAGGGGCAACCGGGACAGAATCCGGCGCCCCGACCGGGACTAGAACCCGGTGTGCCGGCGCCGCTAGGCGGAGGATTAGCCTAGTGAGCCGCGGCGCCGGCCAGCTTTTAACATTTTTTAAAAGATTGATTTGAAAGAATGAACGGCAGAATAGACAGAAGAGATCTTCCATATGCTGATTCATTCCCCAGATGGCCACAATGGTGAGGGCTGGGCCAGTCTGCAGCCAGAAGCCAGGAGCTTCTGGGTCTCCCATGTGGGTGGCAGGGGCCCAGGCAGTTGGGCCATCTTCTGCTGCTTTCTCCTACGTTAGCAGGGAGCTGGATCGGAAGTGGAGCAGCTGGGACACAAACTGGTGCCTATATGGGATGCCAGCATCAGGCAGTAGCATTATCTGGTATGCCACAATGCTGGCCCCTTGTTTGTTGATTCAGATGTGAAAATACCATGTTGCTATGGAGATAAGATTTGGTTGATGGGTTTAAGCAGTTCCTTCCAGGGACTGGTGTAGTAAATTCAGGGTCAAGCATTGTGGCACAGCAGGTAAAACTAGCATCTCATACGGGTGCCGGTTGTGGGGAGCAGCCCGGACTGGACTGAGTTACTGGAATTAAGACTTATTCTATGCATCTGCTCTCCCACAATATGGCGCTGGGAGAGAAGTAAACAGCTTCTGCACAGCTGCCTCCAGTTCAACCAATAAACTGTAGGACTTGCTACTGATTGGAGGAGAGCAGCGTACTCGGCGTGTGGGCAGCCGAGTTGGGATTGGCAGAGGACTATAAAGGAGGAGAGAGACGGCATGCACCAGGAACATCTAAGGGGAACATCTAAGGGAACACCTAAGGGAACACCTAAGGGAACACCTGTGCAGCCCCCCGAGAGAGCCGGCCGGCGGTGTGCTGCTCCCCTGCGGAAGTGGGGAAAGCGGCCAGGGGGAACCGCCCTTCCACGGAGGTGGAAGGGACAGTAGCCAACCCGGGAAGAACCAGCAGCAAACCCGGGGAGGGCCGAGCAGACGAAAGAACAGCGCAGGGTCCTGTGTCGTTCCTCCACGAAGAGGGGGAGCGACAGCCGGTAGCTTTGACCTGGCCCAACCCTGGCCGTTGAAGTCATCCGGGGAGTAAACCAGCAGATGAAGGTCTAACTCTTTCAAATAAAAATTAAAAAAAAAAAAAAAAAAAAAAATTCCTTCCAGTGCCTGTTCCTTCCAATTAATTTCAAAAGCCAATAAGCTCCAACTGGCTGAAAATAAAATGTAAACTTAAGTTTTTACAAGGTTTAGCATTTTATCAAATGCTTTTAGTTTACTGTTCTTTGAGATTGTTTTTTATGGCTAGCTATGTCTAGAAGCTTTTCATTGACGAGCAAGATATTCTAAATGAAGGGGCGTGAATGGTTCCTGCTGTGCAGGGCCAAGATGCAGTGTATCTGAAGCCCTTTTAGATAGCCCTGAACTAGATTATTTGCAGTTAAACCCTGACGTTTCTTAGCAAGTCCCCTTAAGAACCTTAAGCTTCGTATTTATGGCCTCATTTCAACACCAACCAGCAGGTTTTAGGAGACAGAGTCTCCCTGATTTCATGGGAGAACAGCCAGAGCTGGATCAGGTGAAACCAGGAGCTTCAGAAATGGTTTTCAAGCTCTTATTTATTTTTTTTGCTATAAAACCCTTTCTTCAAATGTATCGACACTGCAGTCTAAATTACAAATATCAGAGACTGGCACACATCCAGTGATCCATCCAAATGTATCCTGACAGAGCAGCCATATGAGATGAAAGCAGGAGTTTGCTGGTACATTTATTCTTTGAACAAGAATTTACAGTGATTTTTTTTTATAACAGACACTATGGACTGAAAAAACAATTTCCTTTAGCCTGATAAAGAGAAAATGACAAACACTACCCAAATTGTAAGCTTATTGATTGGTTCTGCACAATTCTAGTAGTGCCTGCTAGCCCTCTGACTTGGGTCTTTGCTTCTGGCCCTAAACTCCACCCTAGGCTAAAAGGTTAAGTCAGGTATCCTCAAGTTTTTTGGTTCAAGACATCATGATAGGCCGGCGCCGTGGCTCAATAGGCTAATCCTCCACCGTGCGGCGCCGGCACACCGGGTTCTAGTCCCGGTTGGGGCGCCGGATTCTGTCCCGGTTGCCCCTCTTCCAGGCCAGCTCTCTGCTATGGCCAGGGAGTGCAGTGGAGGATGGCCCAGGTGCTTGGGCCCTGCACCCCATGGGAGACCAGGAAAAGCACCTGGCTCCTGGCTCCTGCCAGGATCAGCGCGGTGCGCCGGCTGCAGCGGCGGCCATTGGAGGGTGAACCAGCGGCAAAGGAAGACCTTTCTCTCTGTCTCTCTCTCTCACTGTCCACTCTGCCTGTCAAAAAAAAAAAAAAAAAAAGACATCATGATGTTCAATGATCCATTATTCTAGAAGGCACCACTGGCAGGGAAGGTACAAACATCCTCCCAAACAGCTTTAGTGCCATCTTACCACATACTACACAGCTCGGAAAAATTAGCAGGAGTTGAGAAAAAAAAAAACAAAAACTCAGAACCGAATTCCTCCAGGAGGTCCAAAGTAGCTCTTCGTGAAAGCCGCAAAAACAGTGACTGGATTTTGTTTCTTCCACTGTGGAGCGGGTTGGTTCAGAGTGTGAGTCTCATATCCTGAAAAGATGCTCTGCTTTGGCCTCAGGCAGATCCTCCTCAGCATCGTCAGTTGCAGGCTTTCAACAGGATGTGACGTTCATGCTCCAGGGTAAGAGAAGAGCTAAAGCTTGAAGCCAGAATGAATGGCCACAATGCCTGATGTTAGGCTTTCGTAAGTCACCTTCTGAAAACCCGCATCTTCTATCATCTCCTTGAACTCTTCCTGAAACACAAGGAAAGATTCAGCAATGGGTGCCTGGACTTCAACTTCAGAGCCTTTGTTGTTGTAAGCTGCAGAAATGTTGTACCTGAGATGGGAAACGCCGGATGCTCTCTACAAGGTACTGATAGGACTTCCAGTCTCCTGCAATAACCTCTCCCAGGACAGGAATGACTTGGAAGCTATACAGATCATAAATCCTAATCAAGCAAAAAGGCAAAGATTAATATTAGAACATGCCCTGATTTCTTCTCTTGGTAAGAGGCAAGAGGTCTAAGCTTGAGGGGTCACTCAGATGCCCATAGGAGTCAAGAAAATACCTGAAGTAAGAGAAGTGGGCCATGTGCAAGACCAGTGGGCATCAGTTTGCAGCTCTCGCTGCTTCAGGCCTTCTCCCAGAGCTGTGTGGCCGTGCAGGGAGGAAGCAGCATAAAAAGGCGGAAGGGTTACTACTCCACTACTGTTGAACATAGGTACAGAAGGGCTGCTCAGGATGGCCATGTATCTGACTTTGCAAGTACAGCTAGAAATCCACATTTTTATATAAAATTTCTAGGTTTTTAAATATAGACCTCTCCACCTCTTAAAATACAAGTCTTCCTATGTGGGCCACCTTGGGTCTCTGGTCAACAGTTTGAGACTTTTCTGGCCTAGGTACTGTCATTCAGAGCTGGCTGGGCTCTGCAGTGGGCAGTGTCCCTGAGGGGCTGAACTTAGAGCTTTCTTGCTATTTTCTACCCTTTGGGGGATGGGAAACCCCAGGCTAGACAAGGAGGATGTGGCCCTGTCAGCAATGCCAACCTGGATAGGAGGGGATTGTTCACTTGGCTAAATTCCAGACAGAGAAACCGTCCTCCTGGCTTTAGGACCCGATGGGCTTCCTGGAGTGCCTGAGCAAGACAAGGAACAACAGGACACATTCCTCAGCAGCCTCCCTCAGTTCCGCGAGGCGAGGACACTGTACAAGTTGCTTCCAAACAGCGGAAATACCACTACATATCTGGGAGGTGCAGGCGTTCTGCTGTGCTTGGAACACTCTACACTGACTGCAGACTGTACAACCCACGAAGGGCTACTTTAGAATTACCCAGCAAAATCACACAGAATGTCTTCTTTGAAGTAGGAATTTTACTTCAAGGAATGTATGAGAGAGAAATACTTCTATGACATGTATATGGGTCAGTCACTGTTTGGACAGCACAAGAGTAGCAGCACTGTAAACTAACCATTAATGAAAGACTGGTTAAATTGCGTGGTATCTATACAAACAGAACCCATTCAGCTACTCTGAAAAGCCGTTGGTGCTCTTTACATACATAGGGAAATGAAGAGATATTTTAAAATTTTATTTGAAAGGCAGAGAGATAAATCTTTCATTTGCTGTTCACTCTTCAGATACCCACAACAGCTGAGACTAGACCAGACTTAGGCCAGGAGCCAGGAACTCAATCTGGGTCTCCCACGTGGATTGTAGGAACCCCAGGACTTGAACCACCACCTGCTGCCTCCTAGGTGTGCATTAACAGCAAGCTGGAATCTGGAGCAGAGCTGGGACAAAAACCCAGGCACTCCAATATAGGACATGGGTATCCACAGTAGTATCTAAACAGCTATGCCAAATATCCACCCCAAGAGATATTTTTCAAGAAAAAAAGCAATGGCAAAAATGTTTACTATGCTAATATTTGCATTTAAAAAAGGAAATAATAAAAAGGTAACCTCAAAATGCTTGCGGGAAATGGAATTAAAGGATTATTTTGGTGCAAAAAATTTTTGAAATCCTGGGGTGGGCATTGTGGGACAGTGCATATGGGTTAAACGACTGCTTGTGATGCCCGCATCCCAGGTCAGTGCCAGTGAGGGCGGTTTAGAATGCCAGGTCAAGTCCCAGGTCCTCTGCTTCAGATCCAGCTTCCTGTTAATGTATCCTGGGAGGCAGCAGGTGGTGGCCAAAATGCTTGGGTCTCTGCCCACCCATGTGGGAGACCCAGAAGGAGCTCTGGGCTCCTGGATTTGGCCTGGTCCAGCCCTGAATATTGAGGGCATTTGGGGAGGGAACCAGCTGGTGGAAAATATCTCTATTTCTGTCACTCTGCCTTTCAGGTAGATGAAAATAAGTATTAAAAAATACTTTGAAATAGTGTATGTCTTCAAAAAGTTCACGTAAGATGTATATTAGAAAAAACTATGTATAAATTTCAAAAGTTCTTTGTACCCAAATAAGCTTATCTTTTAATTCTATTTCCATGAACTTCTTGAATTACCCCTGTATATACATTTAATATGCACAAAACATCTTTGCAAATATACACAAAAACTGGGGATAGTCTGAAGGGAGAGGAGGCACTAAATGGCTGGGAGACACAGTTGGGAGGGAGCTCTTCACTGACATACCCTTTTGAACTCTGAATTTATTAAAACATAATAGGCTTTCTACAGACACTGGTCATGAAAACCAGCGTCCCATCCAAAGTACAGAAAAGAGCCAAGGGAGGCCCTCATTACAGAAATGAAACCGGTCGCCTTGCACCTGGCCTTCAAACGTTCTGAACAGAAGAATAAAGTAGAAAGAAAGGCGGCTGTGTCAGACAGAACCGAACATTCCCTTCTGCCTAGGTGCGGCGTGCGTGCTGTTTTCTGGGTCAGCCTCTGACCATGCCTGATCTGCAAACTCACGGAGCAGATGAGATGACAGAGCAAGTCTGACTGCCACAAAGACATAAATACCAACCCTAGCAACCAAGACTTCTGCGGGACCTGCTCTCTGCTTTCAGTCCTTTTCAATTTTGTGACTAGGAAAATTGGCAACTTCAAGGATGGAGGCCCCGAAACTTAAAATAGTCATTTCCCTCAAGTGCTGGGCCCAGAGAAGACTCTGCCCTCCTTCACTCCGGAGCTCAGATCCTGAGTCACACAGGCTGAGGAGCAGCCATTCATACCCGATCGATGTGGGTCACGTTCCGGATCCCAAAGGCAATGGTGTAAACGTCAAACTTGTCGTCATCAAAGGGCAGTTCTTCAGCATCTCCTAACACCCAAGCAAGTCCTGAAAGACAAAATCAGCTGTGCGTCTCAGACCGGGTAACTGCTCCCCTGAACCCAGCAGACCATCGAAGCAGAGGGATCTGTAATCGGCCAGGCAGGAATGCGGGTAGCCTGGATACCCAGCTTGTTACTGGTGTCTGAAGTGGAGGCCATCCTGTGGCACCAAGTCCTTACACCTGCGGAGTGTGACGCAGGTTCTGGAGTTAGGTCCGAAGTGAATTGCAATGAATTACCAGACACCTTGTTTAGTATCAGAGAATTGGAGTTGGGCAAATACCACATATTGGTGTCAGAATACATCACACACATGCCTTCTCTATTGAATTCCTGGCCACTGTCTTCATGGTGTCCTCCAATCCTAAGACCTTGAAACTGATGTCCTTGACATTAAGGCAGATCTGAGTCCTCCAGCCAACACTCAGAGACTTGATGCCCACTCAGTTATGCCTACTCTCAAGCAATTTTTATGCCAGCAGGTGTTTTGTGTAGAGTGCTGAGGTTAAGAACCTAGTGTAGACAGCTTCACCATGTATTAGTTGTATATTCTTTTTTTCTTAATAAAGTGAAATGAGAGCTTTGTTGGTTTTTCACTTACTTTTTTTTTTTTAAGATTTATTTTTATTTATTTGAAAGGCAGAGTTATAGAGAGGGAGAGACAGAAGAAGAGATCATCCATCTGCTGATCCACTCCCCACAAGGCCACAATGGCTGGTTCCGGAAAAGCAAAGTCAGGAGCTTAGAACTCCATGTGGGTCTCCCATGTGGGTGACAGGGGCCCAAGAACTTGGCCCATCATCTGCTGCTTTTCCAGGCACATTAGCAGGGAGCTGGACTGCAAGTGGAGTAGCTGGGACTTGAACTGGTGCTCATATGGGATACTGGCATCACAGGTGGCGGCTTAACCTACTATGTCACAATGCTGGCCCAGATGTATATTTTTTTTTTCTTTTTAATAGGTTAAGGTTGTAATTTTTTTTTTAAAGATTTATTTATTTATTTGAAAGGCAGAGGCAGAGAGAGAGAGAGAGAGAGCGAGAGAGAGGTCTTCCATCCGCTGGTTTACTCCCCAGTTGCCTGCAATGGCTAGAGCTACGCCAATCTGAAGCCTGGAGCCGGGTGCTTCTTCTAGTCTCCCATGCGGATGCAGCAGCCCAAGGACTTGGGCCATCTTTAACTGCTTTCCCAGGCCATAGCAGAGAGCTAGATTGGAAGTTGGGCAGCCGGGACTTGAACCAGCACCCGTATGGGATCCCGGCACTGCAAGGTGGCAGCTTTACCCACTACGCCACAGCACTGGCCCCAAGCAGCTGTACATTCTTGAAATTTGTCTCAGTTTCTTTATTTATAAAATGGAGATAATAGTATCTACTTCTTAGGGTTATTTTAAGTATTAAATGAATTACAATAAACATGAAATTTAGCATAGTTGTACAGTCGGTGCTCAACATGAAGGTGCTACATCCATACATCCATGGATTCAATCAATTGCTAAATTACAAATATCCAAAAAAATTTGTTTCTGTTCCCAAAGTGGAAGCCAAACCCATCAATTATGTGAGGAACTGCTTCTAGATGACTGACAGCAGGCTAGTCAAGATCCTTGGCAGCAGAGGAAGTCTCTTTAAGAAAATAGTTTAAACAGTTTGTTAAAAATTTCCATCTTATTTCATTTCTGTAACACTTGATATCTGGCTGTCCTTTTTATAATGCAGAGTGAGAACTGTCTCTACTGTGTTTGATAAATGTCATCCAGGTTCCACTGCCAAGAACGTGTTGTCCAAAATGCCGGTTTAGTTTTTAAAGATGCAACTATATCTTTTGTTTGGTTTTAAATGTGTTAGGGATGTTATGACAGGACATAATAGGAGTGGTGGTCAGGCACGGAAATGGTGGGGAGACAATATACATGGGAAGTAGACTCAGTATTTTAATAAAGCTAAAAAAAATTCTTGAAAAAACCCTGTACTGTACTGAACATGTACAGACTTTTGACATTATTCCCTAAACAATACAGTTTAACAACTATGTGAATAGCATTTACATTGTTTTAGGTATTATAAGTAATCTAAAGATGATTTACAGTCTATAAGAAAAGGGGCCAGTGTTGTGTTGTAGAGGGTCAAGCCACTGCCTGCGATGCCAGCACCCATATGGGTGCCAGTTCAAGTCCTGGCTGTGCTTGGACCCCCAGACCCATGTGGGAGACCCGGATGAAGCTCCTGACTCCTGACTCCTGGCTTCAGCCTGGCCCAGCCCTGGCTGTTGAGGCCATTTGGAGTATGAGCTGATGGATGAAAGATCTCTCTCTTTTTGTAACTTTCAACCAGCATCCCAGACCCCAAGCCAAATGCCTATTCATTATGCCCAGTCTATCAGGGACTTGAGCATTCATGGGCTTTGGTATCTTCAGATATACTTCAGTGGGGGAGGGCAGTAACTGGAACCAATCCCTGTGATATCAAGGGACAATTGCATTGATTCTATTGGAGTCACAAGAAAGTGTTCAGACCCCAAGCCTGGTCATAAATTCAGAGACCATCTGAGGGTCCCTCTATCAGGGCTTCTATGTCCTCTAAAGAGCCCGACTTGGCTTAACAAAGTTACATAAAAATTATAGGAGGTCAGTGTTTTGGACTAAGCGCCTGCACTGGGCCCCAGTGAATCACACACACCAAATTCCATGTCAACAAAGCCGAAACTAAGCTGTTTATCTTACCAGAGAAGCCCAGAGATGTAAGAGATAACAGCCAAACTCTGTTTTAAGGAATGAAGTGTCTTAGCCATCAGGCCAAATGCCCATCCCAAATATATCACTTTTATAATCCAAAATTTATTTTAAGCTCTTGCCTTCAGAGTTTCCATTTGGGGAACAAGTGCCACATATAAAACACAAATCAAACACCTAGCCACAGCGCTACACATCTTTACATGTTAACTTTTATATTTATTAAACAATCTGTTGGATCCTCCTACCTAGTCTCAACATTTTTTGCATGACAGTTTATGGTAAGGAAAATACTAGAAATTGGTAAACCAAGGAGAAAAGATGAAACTATGATGTCTTATGTTGCATTTTTAGTCATTCCTATGCAGGTGCATTTAACTTGGCATTGAGGAGAACTTGAAGACCAAGCTATGCTATGGAAGGAATATTCCAGAAATGGAAAGTTACCTATCTCTTCAAAACTTTTGCTCTCCATTCTTCAGGGCAGAGCACCAGCGACCACGGAAACACGTTTGTCAGTGGGAGGAAGGAAACATAGTGCCTTTGTCTCAACACACTAGTGCCTGTCTGCCTTCTAATCAGTGTCACTGCTTAACAAAAGAGGCCTTCATCTTGGAGACCAAGTGGGCTGCAAGTTCGTCTAGGCAGCTCCTTCTGAGGGTGGGAGGAAGAGGAGAAAGGAGGCACTCATGATGGAGGCAGGGAGGAAAGCAATGCTGATGTTCACTTGAAGGACTTTCTGGTCTTTGGGGGCACACAGCGCTTCTCACAGTGGCGATATGTAGTGCCTGCCCAGCTCGGAAGAGGGTAGTGCGGTGGTTTCAAAGAACTGGGTAGACAATGTGCAGCTTCCAGGATCATTCATTTTACTTAAAAGAATTGGCGCCAAGAGTACTTTAAAATATTAAACAGAAAGTCAAATGTCAAAATTTACATTTTTAAGCTTGAGCACAAAGTCTACTTCAAGTTTTCAGTGGGCTCCTGGAGACATGCAGTTATTTGCCTCTTTGCCACTGGTATCTACTGGGGCTGGAAAGTTTGAGAACTACTGTTCAGGGGCATTTTTAAAAACTACTAATTTATATATTTATTAGAGAGACGGAGAGAGCTACTATCCATTGGTTCAGACCAAAATGACTGCAATGACCAGGGCTGGGATGAAGTCAGCTGGAAACTCAATCCCCGTCTTCCATCTGAGTGGCAGGACCTGACTACTAGAACTACAACCAATGCTACCCAGGGTCCACATTAGTAGGAAGCTGGAATCAGGAGCCAGAGCTGCATATGGAACGCAGGTCCTCTGACGTGGGATTCCTGCAAGTGTCTCAAGTGCTGGGTTAAACCTCTGCCCCTAGTGGTGCTTTCTTTATATCAGCTGGATCTTCTGAGAAGTAGATGCTGAGATGGGGAAAAGCATGCAAAAGTTTTTATTTATTTTTATTTGAATGGCACAGAGAGACAGAGACAGAGATATCTTAAATCCATTGGTCCACTTTCCAAATGCCTACAACAGCCAGGGCTGGGCCAGGCTGAAGCCAGGAGCCAGGAACTTAAAACAGGTCTCCTATGTGGGTGGTAGGGACCCAATCACTTGCTGCCTCCAAGGGTGAGCATTAGCAGGAAGCTGGAATCCTAAGAGGAGCCAGGACTGGAGTCCAGGCACTCGGATAGTATTCCAGGCTATGTCTTAACCACTGAGCCAAACAACTGACCCTGTCTTTTCTGTTTGTTTTGTTTCTTGCTTTTGCTGGCAGGAAAATACTGGGGAAGATAAAAGGAAGAGGAAGACTAGGTAAGAGAAGCTTTTAGACTTCAGTGCGGATCTGATGCCTCAGCCTACCTAGCAGGGAGCTCTAGAGCAAAGACTGGCTGGGAAGGCTCCCACCTGGGCGATGTCCAAGCCCTACTAGCCCTACAGTGTGCAGTCATTTGCTGAGGGTTGCTGGGACAGGGCCTGGCTTCACTGGAAAGCTAGACAGAGGCTAAAGGTGCTAATAGTTAGAGGCTGTTGGCTAACTGTATTCCTTGTGGCTGAAGGGCAAGTTCTTTCCTTACAAGAAATCCAAGTACCCTGGTTGCCTTCCATGTCCATCACATCATCCTAGCATTGACAGAAGAATGGAATAGTGCAAGAATAGAAATCACCCACTGAGGTCATCCCAGATCTGCTGGGAATCGAAAGCAAAACTCCTGTTACAGGGTCAAGAGTTGAGATGGGAAGATTCAGCTCCAATTTGGGCTCTTTCACTGAAAAGTTGTAAGTCCTGGCTAAGTATGGTCCTTAATCTCTTTGGCCTTTGGTTATCTCCTGTCACATAGCACTGGTAATCTAGCTCAACAAGTTGCCAAATCAATGTCTATAACAACACAAACTGGATCCCGTCACACAGATTACCTTCAACTCTTGTCTGTCAACAGAAAACATTCAACATGTTACATATTCTGTCTCATGCTATAATACAAACATTTCCTGTGAGTCTGCTATCTGTAGGACTCACCAGCTTTGTGGCCCTGAGCCGTGGCCTTCTGCTTGCCAACCTTGAGCATCTCCTTGTTGATGTCACAGATCACGACACGGGAACCGCCCAGGGAATCCTCTTCATTCCGGTACTTGTTGGCAATTTCTTCCCAGGATAAATTTTGCTGGGCTCTTAACTGCCTCTTCTGCTTTCCTTGATGCTGTGCCTGGACATAATTAAGGAACCGGAATGCAATGTCACCTGTGGGAAGCCAACAGGAGGAAAGATGGAAACAAAACAGAAGGGAAAAAGAAAGAATCTTTCCTAAATCCAAAAGGAGCAACAGAGTCTAGGAGTGAGTGAGTACATGGAAATGAAGTTTCCCCTTATTTTAACAGTAACTTTTTCTTTAAACAAGTTCAACTTTTAACTTGTGAGAGTCTTTAAAAATCTTTTGAAAATCTGGTTAACTAAGGGTGCTTCTTTGGCATAGCCACTTGGGATGCCTCCATCCCACACCAGAGAATCTGATGTAGGCCCAGCTCCTCTGCTTCTCATCCAGCTTTCTGATAACGTGCACTCTGGGAGGCAGAAGATAATGTGTAGAGGATGCTCAGTGGTCCCCCGGGGTACTAAGGTCCATGTTACCTGTGCCTCCGGCAACATCCAGCAGCTGGGTCCCAGGAAGTGGGCGCATCTCCCGGAGCAGCAAATCCTTCCAAACGCGATGGATGCCGAGGCTCATCATGTCATTCATCACGTCGTACCTCTTGGCCACACTTTCAAATACGTGATAGACTGGCACGGGTGACAACACATAACACAACCATGTGTTCACAGGATTAACTTGGGGGAAAATGCTAAGTAAGAGAACATTTTTCCTCCTGGAACTACATGTCTTTGCAATGTGAGGCTATGCCATGATGCTTGATGCCCAATTTATACCTTAAAGTTACTCTTCAAGAAAAGGCTGGGGCCAGCACTGCAACACTGGTATGCCGCATGGGAACTCTGATCTCTGCCTGCATTATGAAGAACCTTGGGAGCTGGCGCCGCGGCTCACTAGGCTAATCCTCCGCCTAGCGGCGCCGGCACACCGGGTTCTAGTCCCGGTCGGGGCGCCGGATTCTGTCCCGGTTGCCCCTCTTCCAGGCCAGCTCTCTGCTGTGGCCAGGGAGTGCAGTGGAGGATGGCCCAGGTGCTTGGGCCCTGCACCCCATGGGAGACCAGGAAAAGCACCTGGCTCCTGCCATCGGATCAGCGCGGTGCGCCGGCCGCAGCACGCCAGCCGCGGCAGCCATTGGAGGGTGAACCAACGGCAAAAGGAAGACCTTTCTCTCTGTCTCTCTCTCTCACTGTCCACTCTGCCTGTCAAAAAAAAAACAAAAAAAACCAAAAAAAAACAAAAAAACAAACCTTGGGAACAACTTGGTGGGCACGTGGGTGGCAAGATGTGAATCAGGTCAGTAACACCTTAGAAGGTCCCCATGAATGCTGTCCAACCAAGACAGAATGCAGAATCTGGGCTACCTGCAGAGAAAGGGTCTACCGAAGACACTCAGCATAGTTTTCCCTTAAAGCTGCACTGAATTCCACTACATATCAATTTCTCTGCCCATAAGATGAGACTGTCAGTGCCAGCTCCCTACCTCCCTAATGTAAAACTTAGTTAGAGGGGCCGGCGCAGTGGCATAGCGGGTAAAACCTCCGCTTATGGCACCAGCATCCCTTTTGGGAGTCAGTTCCAGTCCCAGCTGCTCCACTTCTGATCTGGTTCCCTGCTAATGTGCCTGGGAAAGCAGCAGAGGATAGATGGCCCAAGTGCTTGGGCTCCTGCACTCAGCTGGGAGACTTGGAAGAAGCTCCTGGATCCAGACTGGCCAAGCTCCAGCCATTATGGCCATCTGGAGAGTAAACTAGTAGATGGAAAATCCCCCCCTCTCCCTCTGTCTAACTCTGCATTCCAAATAAATAAAATAAATCTTACCAAAAGAAAACAAAGTTTTTTTTTTTTTTTTAATTTTTTAAAGACTTATTTATTTATTTGAAAGGGGAGGCAGAGAGAGGTCTTCCATCTGCTGGTTCACTCCCCAATTGGCCACAATGGATGGAGCTGCGCCATTGGAAGCCAGGAGCCAGGAGCTTCTTCCCGGTCTCCCATGTGGGTGCAGAGACCCAAGGACTTGGGCCATCTTTTACTGCTATCCCAGGCCATAGCAGAGAGCTGAATTGGAAGTGGAGCAGCCAGGTCTTGAAACAGCGCCCATATGGGACGCCGGTGCTTCAGGCCAGGGCGTTATCCAACTGCGCCACAGCCACAGCCACACAACCGGCCCCTGGCTGCTCCACTTGCAATCCAGCTCTCTGCTCTGGCCAGGGAAAGCAGTAGAAGATAGCCCAAGTGCTTGGGCCTCTGCACCCATGTGGGAGACCTGGATGAAGCTACTGACTCCTGGCTTCGGATCAGCGCAGCTCCGACCATTGCAGTCAACTGGGGAGTAAGCCAGTGGATTGAAGACTCCCCCCTCTCTCGCTGCCTCTCCTCTCTTTGTGTAACTCTTTCTTTAGTTAATATATTATCATTAAATTTTTTGACAGGCAGAGTGGACAGTGAGAGAGAGAGAGAGAGAAAGGCCTTCCTTTGCCGTTGGTTCACCCTCCAATGGCCGCCGCGGCCAGCGCGCTGCAGCCAGCGTACCGCGCTGATCCGATGGCAGGAGCCAGGTACTCATCCTGGTCTCCCATGGGGTGCAGGGCCCAAGGACTTGGGCCATCCTCCACTGCACTCCCTGGCCACAGCAGAGAGCTGGCCTGGAAGAGAGGCAACCAGGACAGAATCTGGTGCCACAACCGGGACTAGAACCCGGTGTGCCGGCGCCGCAAGGCGGAGGATTAGCCTAGTGAGCCGCGGCGCCGGCCTTGTTTTTTTTTTTTTTTTTTTTTAATTATTTATTTATTTGAAAGTCAGAGTTACACAGAGAAAGGAGAAGCAGAGATGGAGAGAGAGATCTTCCATCTGATGATTCACTCCCCAATTGGCCCCAATGGCTGGAGCTGTACCGATCCAAAGCCATGAGCCAGGAGCTTCCTCCAGGTCTCCCACGTGGGTGCAGGGGCCCAGGGACTTTGGCCATCTTATACTGCTTTCCCAGGCCATAGCAGAGAGCTGGATGGGAAGTGGAGCAGCCAGGACTTGAACCAGCATCCATATGGATGTCAGCACTTCAGGCCAGGGTGTTAACCCACTGTGCCACAGCGCTGGCCCAGTGTAACTCTTTCAAATAAGTAAATAAATCTTAAAACAACAACAACAAAAAACCAGAAAGTGATAACATTTGACATGAAATTCTAATTGAGTATCAGTGGAGTTACCAGAGGAATGTTGCTACTGCTGCCACTGGAGACTCTAGCTCTCCAGCCAGAGGAACTCTGTGAAGATGAACTTATCAACATAAGTGAGGAATGTCATTGCAGCAAAAAGGTTCAAGGTATTCCAAAGGAAGTGGTGCCAGCAAAAAAAATTTCACATTGAAGAAATTCCTGGACATATCTCATGATACTGAAGGTAGAAGTTAGAGGCTGGAAAACCCTAGAAAGAGGTATGACAATTCACTAGGGCAAAGAAAAGAAGCTCACTCCCTGTTGTAATTTATATGACAAGAAGGCCACCATCAAGGTTCAAACTACTCTGGGTAATTTTATTTTCTTAAAAAGATTTTATTTTTTGTTTATTTTAAAGGCAGAGTTAGAGAGATACCGAGAGAAGATCTGCCACCTGCTGGTTTACTCCCTAAATGTTGGCAACGGCTGGGATCGCCCCAGGTCAAAGCTGGAGGCCTGGAACTCCATTTGGGTCTCCCACATGAGTGGCAGAGGCCCAAGCACCTGGGCCATCTTCTGCTGCTTTCCCAAGTGCACGAGCAGGAAGCTGGATTAGAAGTGGAGCAGGCGAAACTCAAACTGGTGCCCATGTAGGATGCCGGCTACACAGGCAGCAGCTGGCCCCATTACTTTTTTTTTTTTTTTTTACATAGAAATAAAACAAGTTAATTTTTGACATTTTTAATTTATTTTTATTTTTTTGACAGAGTAAGACAGTGAGAGAAAGAAAGAGACAGAGAGAAAGGTCTTCCTTCCATTGGTTCACCCCCCAAATGGCCGTTGTGGCTGGCATGCTGCGGCTGGCACACCGCGCTGATCCGAAGCCAGGAGCCAGGTGCTTCCTCCTGGTCTCCCACGCGGGTGCAGGTGCCCAAGGACTTGGGCCATCCTCCACTGTACTCCCGGGCCACAGCAGAGAGCTGGACTGGAAGAGGAGAACTGGGACAGAATCTGGTGCCCTAACTGGGACTAGAACCCGGTGTGCCGGCGCCGCAGGCAGAGGATTAGCCTACTGAGCCGCGGTGCTGGCTGACGTTTTTAATTTTTAATAGAATTTTAAAATGTTAAGCTTAGGGGCTGGCGCTGTGGTGCAGCAGGTTAATGCCCTGGCCTGAAGCACCGGCATCTCATATGGGCACTGGCTCAGGGCCCAGCTGCTCCACTTCCGATCCAGCTCTCTGCTGTGGCCTGGGAAAACAGTAGAAGATGGCCCAAGTCCTTGGGCCCCTGCACCCATGTGGAAGACTGGAAGAAGCTCCTGGCTCCTGGCTTCAGATCAGCATAGCTCCAGCAGTTGAGGCCATCTGGGGAAGGAACCAGTGGATGGAGGACCTCCCTCCCTCTCTCTCCTCTCTGTGTAACTCTACCTTTCAAATAAATAAATAAATCTTAAAAAAAAGGTTAAGCTTAAATTTCAGATCTTTAGAACTTTAATTATATTAGTTAAATCCAACTTTAAATAACAGTATACTAGGCCGGCGCCGTGGCTCACTAGGCTAATCCTCCACCTAGCGGCGCCGGCCGCGCAACCAACGGCAAAGGAAGACCTTTCTGTCTCTCTCTCTCACTGTCCACTCTGCCTGTCAAAAAAAAAAGTATACTAAATAAATATCAGCTTTACTATATAGTTTGACAGTATGAATTTTTGATGTTCAATAAGTTTTAAAGGTCATGCAACAAGAGTAATTTTTACCATTGATTATTAAGGTTATGAGGCATGATATCAGCTAGAATGTCATTTTTACAGTCTACATCACTGCACGAAGTGAGAACGGCCTGTATTTCCATCTCAGTTCCCAGTCTGGAGTCATAATTTTCCTCGGTTGGTAAGCGCTCTCCTATAGGCCATGATGTTGATTATTCATTGTACAGCAGGCGTAGAAGTCTGGCATTCTTATCAAATCCTAGGGGCACACGCCCTGGGAGCAAGCCACCTGGATTCACATCCAACTCAGCCACTGACTGGGAGAATCTTGGGCAGCTGACTTAGTGTTGTTGTTTCAGTTTCCACATCTGTAAAACTGGGCTAATAGTTGCTATCTCCCAAGGTTGTCTTTGTAAGAATTACTGTAAAATATTTTAAAAGGTTTCACACCCTCAATACATGCTCCGTACTGTTTTACTTGCCCCACTTATTTCACTCCACAGAGGTTACCAAGCTCCTGATGTGTATCAAGCACTGAGATACAGAAATGAAATAAACCATTGTCTTAGGTATTCAGATTTACAGCAGAGCTATGTAAAGTGGAGATCATACAATGCAGTCTTTAATGGGATGGGAATAATTCCACCGTGGGCTCTTTCTCTTGTTTCCTAGGTGGCCTTAGGCTCAGTGAACGAACCTCTCAGAGCCTCGCCTTCTCCATCTGTAAAATGGGCATATCCCTCCATCATTGTAAGTGATACAGTTAGAGTCTACAAAGAATCTTTTTCGGGGCAGGGGGCTGTGGCTCACTTGGTAAATCCTCAGCCTGCGGCGCCGGCATCCCATATGGGCGCCGGGTTCTAGTCCCAGTTGCTCCTCTTCCAGTCCAGCCCTCTGCTGTGGCCCGGGAGGGCAGTGGAGGATGGCCCAAGTGCTTGGGCCCTGCACCCGCATGGGAGACCAGGAGGAAGCGCCTGGCTCCTGGATTCAGATGGGCATAGCTCTGGCCGTAGTGGCCATTTGGGGGGTGAACCAACGGAAGAAAGACCTTTCTCTCTGTCTCTCTCACTGTCTAACTCTAGCTGTCAAATTAAACAACAAAACAAAACAAAAAAACCAGTCTTTTCCCTTTCCCATACCAGCGTCATAGTAATGACGTAAAAAGAAAAGAAAAAACCTGCCCAACAATATCTAACATTTATGGAGCAATGACTCGGTGTCAGGCATTGTTCAAAGTGCTTTATTACATGAAGGACTGACCCCTCCTACACCTGTAAGGGTTCCTATTATTCTTACTTTGCAATTGTGGAAGTGAAGCACAGGCACAGAGAGTTGCCTGCTTCCTTTCTATTAAAGGAAAAAAGGACTTTTTTTTTTTTTTTTTAAGTACCGGCTTGCGGTACTGGTTCAGCCACTAACTACGTTAGTTTGGGCAGCCCTCCCTGAACCTCCGCGTCTCGGCTTCCTCAGGGCTAACGTGTGATACACACTCACACCGACAGTGGACAGAATGAAATACGCTACACGCGCTGGCACACGTGACACACCGCTGACGGCTCTGGTGATAAACACTCCGGTTTTCTTTCTTTTTTTTTTTTTTTTTTTTTTTTTCTGACAGGCAAAGTGGACAGTGAGAGAGAGAGACAGAGAGAAAGGTCTTCCTTTGCCGTTGGTTCACCCTCCAATGGCCGCCACGGCCGGCGCACCGCGCTGATCCGAGGGCAGGAGCCAGGAGCCAGGTGCTTCTCCTGGTCTCCCATGGGGTGCAGGGCCCAAGCACTTGGGCCATCCTCCACTGCACTCCCTGGCCATAGCAGAGAGCGGGCCTGGAAGAGGGGCAACCGGGACAGAATCCGGCGCCCCGACCGGGACTGGAACCTGGTGTGCTGGCGACACAAGGTGGAGGATTAGCCTATTGAGCCGCGGCGCCGGCCAACACTCCGGTTTTCAAAGAAGGGGCCGCTAAGCTCTGCTAGCCCGGGCCTGCGGAGCACTCCCCCGAGTCAGGACTGCACCGACACCACCAGTTGAGCAACAAACCGGGTCGCGGGCGATCAGGTCCCCCCAGCCACCCTCGGGCCCCTTTCACCTTTGCCCCCTTTCTCGTCCTCCGCCACAGTCTCGAACCCGAAGTGCGTTTCCGTTGCCCGCTTCTCTTGAGACAACAGGCGTGCACCCAGAGAGCCCGCGGGCCAGGAGCTACGGAGCCTGGGAACCCAGCAACCCCGCATGGCCCGCAACCACCCGCTGCCATAGCGGCTCCACTGAGAACAGATACTGGGAGCCGCCATCTTGACCGGCGGGCGACGGGAACCTGCGGATACGCCCCGTTACGTCATCAGACAGTCGACGGCGGCCGGTGGGAGACACTATTAGCCCAACGCGCCCTGAAGCCTGGTGTTAAGGAGCGGGACGTTATTTCGGGGATCCAGAAACTAGTCTGTGAATCCGACTCGTAATCCCATCCTCTCTCTCTTCCCAAATTTAATATAGAGCTCGCCAGCAACGAGGGGACCTGAGGTGGTTCCCCCACTCGCCTGTCAGCGGCCACGTCTCAGAATCCTGCCCGCTCGGAAAATATGTAGAGATCTCTCGTTTTCTGCTGTGGAAAGGGGAAACTAGCGTGGTGTGGGTCAAAGGGCAAGGTCACGAGGTCAATTCCTGTAAACTTTGGTGTGCTAAGAGTCACCAGGTTTGAGCTATATTTTTAAGAGTTGTTTGTTTTTATTTATCTGAAAGGCACAGTTACAGAGAGAGAAAGATCTTCCATCTGCTGATGCACTTCCTACATGGCTGCCCAGAGCTTCTTCCCGTCTCCCATGTGGGTTGCAGCACTTGGGCCATCTTCTACTGCCTTCCCAGGCATAGCAGCAGGGAGCTGGATGGGAAGTGGAGCAGCCGGGTGCCCATATGGGATGCCAGTTGAACAGACTGGTTTTAACCCGCTGTGCTACAATGCTGGCCCAGGGTTTGAGCTTTAAAATCAGATGCCTGGGCCCCAGCTGCCAGAGACTTAAACAAAAAGATTGCAGCCAATTAAGTTTAAAGATTAATTAATTTGGGCCGGTGCTGCGACTCAATAAGCTAATCCTCTGCCAGCGGCACTGGCACACCGGGTTCTAGTCCCGGTCGGGGCGCCGGATTCTGTCCCGGTTGCCCCTCTTCCAGGCCAGCTCTCTGCTGTGGCCAGGGAGTGCAGTGGAGGATGGCCCAGGTGCTTGGGCCCTGCACCCCATGGGAGACCAGGAGAAGCCCCTGGCTCCTGGCTTTGGATCAGCGCGGTGCGCCGGCTGCAGCGCGCCGGCCATTGGAGGGTGAACCAACGGCAAAGGAAGACCTTTCTCTCTGTCTCTGTCTCTCACTGTCCACTCTGCCTGTCAAAAAAAAAAAAAAAAACTAATTAATTTGAGAGAGAGGGAGAGATCTCCTGTCCTCTGAGTCACTTCTCGAATGCCCCTAAAGTGGGTGACTGGAGCCAGGAATTCAATTCAGGTCTCCCACGTGGGTGGCAGGAACCCAATTACTTGAGCTGTCACTGCTGCCTCCCGAGGTCTGCGTTAGCAGGAAGCTGAAGTGGAGCCCTGGAGCTGGGATTGGACCCAGTTATCACAATATGGGGACACAGGTGTCTCAACTGCTAGGCTAACAACTAGATTGTTACCAGAAATCTTAAACCAGTGAATTTGTATATTTCCCTGGACCCTATCTAAACAAGCTTCTCTGGTGATTCTGATGCAAGGAGATTTACAGACCCTTCTTGAAAAACATATGCTGGAATACCCTGGAAATTAAACATAGGAAAGACTATTCTGTGTGCTGTCCATTTTCTGAACCCAGGAAATTCATAAATGGAAATAAAGCTTTGCCAGAACCAAAAACCACTCACACTTCATCTCCTGCTGACATTTCTAGGTCCAACTGGCATGTCATGTGTGTTTGATTTCCACCCCAGATTTTCATTCTTTTTTTATGGAAAGGGTAATGTAGACCATCTTGTACAAAAGAGGATGGAGGCTGTTGAGTTTTGCTTGGGTTTCTGTATGTTTCTGCTTTGAGTCCCTTTTTAAATGTATGTTTTCTGTAAATATTTCACAAGGAGCAAGTGCCAACGATCCTAAGAAAGTATTCTGGAATGAAAGTTTCCGATTTAATATAGCCTCACAGATGGACACCTACTGCTTTCTTTTGAGAAATCCTACAGTGGGATTTCTCTTTCCTTTTATTTTTAAGAACAGAGGGAAGAAATGACTCATCCACGTGTTCAGGGTTCTCACACCCTTGTTAAAGGAAATGTAGGTTCATTAGGAACTCCAGTGTCTCTGTCACACCTAGCTATGTACAAGAATTCACTAGGGCAGGCATTATGGCACAGGTGGGCAAACTGCTGCCTAGGATGCCTGCATCCCACATGGGAGTGCTAGAGATCAAGTCCTGGCTCCTCTGCTTCCGACCCAGCTTCCTGCTGATGGGAACACTGGGACGTAGCTGATGATGGCCCAAGTGTTGGTGTTCATCCCCATGGGAAGTGCAGATGGAGTTCCTGGCCCCTGCCTGGTCCACCTTTGACTCTTCCAGGCAACTGGGGAAGGAACCAGTGGGTGGGCGATCTCTCTTCCTCTCTCTCTCTCTCTGCCTTTCAAGTAAATAAATAAATCTTTTAAAAAAGAATTTATATCACGTTCGGGGCTATTCCTTTTGGGCATTAAATTAAGCTTCCAGACCAACAGTATGTAGCCGTTCTCTTATTTCACTATAACTTGTCGGGGGAAAGCTGTGAGAGGTAAGGCAGGACAAGGGCTGGTGGAGGCTATTTTAAGGAAATTTAAAAACATAAGATTAATATCTGACTCCCTTCATCCCAGTTTAAACTGTAAATTCCAATATTGTGATTCATTTATATAGACTTATTCATGTCTTTATACCATGTGATGACTAATAAGCAGCCAAGTAGGACTCAGTTACAATTTCATTCATTCATTCATTCTCAAAGGGCTCCTAACATTTCCCTCATTCTCCTGTGTTCAGCGCATGTGACAGCACTCTAGGGAGTCCTCCTTGATCCCTTGCAACTGGACTTTTCTCTTAGAGTCTCTGCTCTGGTCAGCATTTTGTAGTCAACAATACTTGTAGCCCTTATTACATTCTCACCTTGTAGTTTCTCATTTCCTGAACTCCATAACGTAGGGCACTGTAATCATATCAGTGGCCTCAATTTTCTTTTTTTTTTTTTTTTTTTTTGACAGGCAAAGTGGACAGTGAGAGAGAGAGACAGAGAGAAAGGTCTTCCTTTGCCATTGGTTCACCCTCCAATGGCCGCCATGGCTGGCGCACTGCGCTGATCCAATGGCAGGAGCCAGGTACTTATCCTGGTCTCCCATGAGGTGCAGGGCCCAAGCACTTGGGCCATCCTCCACTGCACTCCCTGGCCACAGCAGACAGCTGGCCTGGAAGAGGGGCAACCGGGACAGAATCCGGCGCCCCGACCGGGACTAGAACCCGGTGTGCCGGCGCCGCAAGGCGGAGGATTAGCCTAGTGAGCCGCGGCGCCAGCCAGTGGCCTCAATTTTCCTGTTGTTTGGCATACCTTGTGCCCAGCCCAGGCCTGACACATAATAGTTTCCTAACTATAGGATGACTGAGAAACCTTTGTTCTCTTTAATACTGTACATGGGATCATTTGACTTCTGTTACAATGGTTAGAAGGGAACCATTTAGTTTTCCAAAGCACAGTTGGATGCAATGTGATTTCCAAAGTGCATAAGTAGTTTTTGTTTCAGTGTTCATGTCTATAAAATGGGTAATTGCTTAGGTAGCTGAGAATATCACTTAACAGCTGTGTTTATGAGTAAATTATCTAGACATTTTGAGTCATTCTCATTTTTTTTTTTTTTTTTTGACAGGCAGAGTGGACAGTGAGAGAGAGAGAGAAAGATCTTCCTTTTCTGTTGGTTCACCCCCCAATGGCCACTGCGGCTGGCGTGCTACAGCCAGTGCACTGCGCTGATCCGAAGCCAGGAGCCAGGTGCTTCCTCCTGGTCTCCCATGCGGCCCAAGCACTTGGGCCATCCTCCACTGCACTCCCGGGCCACAGCAGAGAGCTGGATTGGAAGAGGAGCAACCGGGACAGAATCTGGTGCTTTAACTGGGACTGGGGTCCCAGCGCTGCAGGCGGAGGATTAGCCTAGTGAGCTGTGGCGCCAGCCCATTCTCCACATTTTAAAAATCTATTTGAAAGAGAGTAACAGAGCGAGAGAGAAGGAGAGAGCACCTCCATCCACTGGTTCACTACCCAAATGCCTGTAACATCCAGGGCTAGGCCAGGCATAAGCCAGGAGTCTGGAAATCCATCTGGGTCTCCCATACAAGTGGCTGGGGCTCAAGTATTTGGGCTATCATCCATTGCCTTCCCAGGTGCGCAGCAGGGAACTGGAGTACAAGTGGAGCAGCCAAGACTCTAAATAGCACTCCAACATGGGACTCCAGCATTGTGAGTGGCGGCTTAACCCACTGCAGCACAATGCTGGACCCACAGCTTTTTTTTTTTTTTTTTTTTTTTTTGACAGGCAGAGTGGACAGTGAGAGAGAGAGACAGAGAGAAAGGTCTTCCTTTGCCGTTGCCGTTGGTTCACCCTCCAATGGCTGCCGCAAGCACTTGGGCCATCCTCCACTGCACTCCTGGGCCACAGCAGGGAGCTGGCCTGGAAGAGGGGCAGCTGGGACAGAATCCGGCGCCCTGACCGGGACTAGAACCCGGTGTGCTGGCGCCGCAAGGCGGAGGATTAGCCTACTGAGCTGCGGCGCCGGCCTACAATTATTTATATTAACATGAGTTACTGACGATGAAATTTAGTATTGTATGAGGAATTACTTTTAACACTATTATCATTACAAATTTGAGATACTATGAAAGCCTCATAAAACCGACATTACTACTAGAATAAGAACCATAAAACAAAGGAGACCATAAGGAGTCCACAGGCATTCCAGTTGTATCATTATTAGCATGTACCCACTACACATGATTAGTGTACTAAGACGAAAATCTGGACTTGGATGAAACTACAAGTCCCTTAATCCCGTGCGCCCCTCCAGCGAGGGGTGGGACGGGTGGGGGGGGGGTGAACTCACTGGACCCGGATGTAAACAAAAACTACATTTCCCAGAGTGCTCATCTCATGCATCTCCACTATATATACTCCATCCGGGTACTTCGGGATGCTGTTTGGCGACTCGTCGCCATTCCCGGAGCAGCTCGGCCTCGGCCTAGAGGCGAGTGTTAGTCGCTGTGTCGGAGACACCGGTCCCCGACACCAAGACAGCCAGCCCTCTCTCCTGCCCGTCGGCGGGAGAGCGTGTCCGGCCGGCCGGCGGGGCTCGCGAACCCTCCCTCGCCTCCCCTTCCCCGGCAGCCTCCGCCCCGCCAGGCCCGGCCCGGACTCCCGAGCCTCGGCCTCCTCCTCCACCGTCACCGCCGCCGTCGGGCTCGACAGCCCCGCCCGCCGCTTCTCTTCCCAATTTGAGAAGCCAAGGAAGGAAACAGGGAAAAATGTCGCCATGAAGGCCGAGAACCGCTGCCGCCGCCGACCCCCGCCGGCCCTGAACGCCATGAGCCTGGGTCCCCGCCGCGCCCGCTCCGCTCCGACCGCCGCCGCCGCCGAGGCCCCAGTTGATGCCGCAGAGCTCCCCCAGCGCCGCCGCCACCGCCTCCGACATGGACAAGAACAGCGGCTCCAACAGCTCCTCCGCCTCTTCGGGCAGCAGCAAAGGGCAACAGCCGCCCCGCTCCGCCTCGGCGGGGCCCGCCGGCGAGTCTAAACCCAAGAGCGGTACGGGCGGGCCCCCGGTCGTGGGCGGGGGGCGTCACATCACCTTTTCAATGGCTCCTGTGGTTTACAGTTCAACTAGTGAGCACTGGGCCTCCTGGTTTCCGGGCCCCTTGTTGCATTCCTGCTCCGAACGGCCTGGAGGGGAGTGGGTGCTGTTCTTACCCCCATTTCGCAGATGGAGAAGCTGAGGTTCGGGAAAGGGTGAGGTCGCCCAGCTAGTGTGTGCCTCTCGGCAGGCCTTGGACAGGGCTCGTCCGACTGGCCGGTCCACCATCTAAAACTTGTAAGTTGTGTGTTCTGTAGTGTTGAATTAATACTGGGTAGAGGGCTGGGGCTCTAGGGTTTTCAGACTCAAATCTCCTGTCTGCTGACCTGGCCTCACTCCGTGAATGAGTGTGCTGTGGTTCAGAGCCAGGCCCTGGGGTCGCTCTGTCTGGGGCCCTCCGGTTTGCCAGACCCCTAGTGGCTGAGTTGCTGGTAGAGGTGGAGCTAGTAGTTGAAGCCGTAAGCTTAAGAACAGGTGAACTCGCTGACATCTGTTGTTTAGCGAAAGCCTGCTGATTCCTGTGTGCTGGGGAATAGCATTGTCCTTTCACAGGGACATTGTCCTCTTTGGAGGCATGGTTTTAGTGTTGCGGCCGTAATGATGACGGTGGCTGTCGTGTGTTGAGGGTTTGCCATGTGCTGAGTACTGGGGTAGGCTTTAGGTCTGTTACCACTACCCCAGTCACTAACCTGTCAGCCCGGAGGAATGGTCCACACTTCAGCAAAGCGCAAGTGAGAGGGGCGCGTACTAGGAGTTGGGAGAGTGTGGAGAGCCCGGTCCTCATTTTCAAAGCCGGTGAGCCAGTCTCTGCTCTGCTTGATTGTATTAGCAGAAATAGGAAGGTGTTTTCCAGAATAGAGTGTGTGGCAAAGAGAAGTATTTGGACTCCCTAAATGTGGAGGTCCAGTTGTTTAAAACCTTTTAAGAGTAAAACTCTGAAAGACTGACTTAAAAGGCTTACTGACTTGACTTCAGTTTCCTGCTGGGCCTGCCCAGCGCACTCACTGGTGTGCTGAGGCCTTCCAGAGGGCGCTTGTGAAACTCAGGTGGTGACCAGGTGTCTCGATAATAAATTTTTAAAATACCTAAGCAGAGAGTAGTGTGGGCTCAGGTGACGTCAGGAAGCGGTATGTGGACTTAGGGGCTTTGCACACGTGTAGCTTTTTCAGATCCTTCTAAGGATATGGAGCAGCTACTGTTGAGCTGGTTTAGTGGTCTGAATATTTCCCAGAATAGGTGATAAATGACTTTTGCATTCTATTCCCAGATACTCTGTTAAGGATTTGGTTCTCCAACTATCTGAACTCTCGACTAATTTTCCTGGGGTTCCTTTTTAAGTCAACTGCAGGCTTTAATCTGCTGTGCCACAGCGCCGGCCCCGTGGTGGAACTAATTATGAAACAGAATTCTCTTGTAGTTTGACCAAAGCAAATATTTGTCAGTCTTAACATTTCAAACAGATGTGTATAGAATAAATATTAATTGTTGCCATTCTGACTACTTAAACTAGTTCTTTTTTTTTATTTTTATTTTTTGACAGGCAGAGTGGACAGTGAGAGAGAGAGAAAGGTCTTCCTTTGCTGTTGGTTTACCCTCCAATGGCGGCCGCAGCCGGCGCACCGCGCTGATCCAATGGCAGGAGCCAGGTGCTTCTCCTGGTCTCCCATGGGGTGCAGGGCCCAAGCACTTGGGCCATCCTCTACTGCCTTCCCGGGCCACAGCAGAGAGCTGGCCTGGAAGAGGGGCAACCGGGACAGAATCCGGTGCCCCGACTGGGACTAGAACCCGGTGTGCCAGCGCTGCAAGGCGGAGGATTAGCCTAGTGAGCTGCAGCGCCGGCCTAAACTAGTTCTTTTTAAAATACGTTAAGTACTATAAAATGTGTGGAAGATGCTTGTTCACCTTTTTACACATAGTTTCAATTTTTAAAAATTTATTTACTTCATCTTGGTCTTCCTGCAGGGTGGCAGGGGCCCAAGTACTTAAGCCATCTTCCACTGCCTCTCCAGGTGCTCTAGCAGGAAGCTGGATCGCACATGGAGCAACTGGGACTTGAACCTGCACTCAGATGTCAATGTCGCAAGTGGCAGATTCGCCACAGTGCTGGCCCTCATAGTTTAATTTTTAATTGACGCATAGTAACGCATATTTATGTGTTTTATGGTGTGATATTTCAATACATGAATACAGTATGTTAATGATTAGATCAGTGATTTGTACACGCACGTGCACACACACCTTTAAAAAAAAAAAAAAAAAACACAGGGAGACGGAACTCTAATCTGCCGGGTTAGCCAGGGCTGGGCCAGGGTGAAGGCAGGAGCTGGGAGCTCCCTCGGGATCTCCCTTGTGGGTGGCAGGAGATCCAACCACTTGAGCCCTCACTTGCTACCTCACGGGGTGTACATCAGTGGGAAGCTGGAATCAGAAGCAGAGCCAGGACTTGAACTTAGATATTTTTGATGTGGGATGTGGATGTCCCAGCACATGTTTTCTGTATCAAATGCCCCTGTTTACTATTTTAATTGAAAGTTTCTGAGGAAGGAGTAATTCTTGCAGAGCACTTGTTTTAGGTTGTCTGAAATACGCAAGTGGCATTAGTGTGTTTTTAGTATGTGTGTGTCATAAACTTGAGCACAGTTGCCCTTGCCATGCTTGCTTTTCTATCTTCTCTCTTTCCGTAGCAAGGAAGGATGGACTTAAAGCTAAATACTTCAACCAAAATGCACTGTCTTTATTTAGAACTGCTCATATTTAGGAACTAGTTAAAAGACAGAGTAGGAAAGGAAAGAGTAGGAAATTGACTGATTTTAAACTGGGGCTTAAGGGTAGCCATACACCTCAACATCACTGCTTAGACCAGTGGTGCTGTGACAGGGATTTTAGCCCTCAAATGCTGTGACTTTGAGACTGCTGCTCTAACCATAGGGTAGACTCAGATTCTGCAGAATTTCATAGAAAGGTGTGTGCAGTATTTTAAAAACTCACTCATAACTTGATATACTTGATTCTGCTGGAAAATGTTGTATGGCCCTCTTGAATTTCAAAGTACTGAGTTGAGGTAAGAATATGAAGGGTGAGGTGGAAAGACAGGTTGCCTTTTTTTTTTTTTTGTCAAGAAGTTTTTGATATTTGAGTGTTTAATTCCCTTTCTGTTTTCCTACCTTGTGTGAGAAAAAGAAAACCGTCTGGTTTTTCTTTCAGCCATGTCATAAGTGATCGTTTGCTTCCTAGCTATGTGGTTAATGTACTTGAGCCTTTGTTCCTGTTGCTGGCTTAAGTTTGCCCTTCATTTGTACCGGAAATAGATACATTTTGACTATTCGGATTTTCTTGATCTTTCTAGCAGCTTTTTACCTTGGCTAATTGCTTTAAATGTTTACGTAACATTTCTTTTCTTGGGTGCATTTCTATAGCTTCACTCCAGTAAGGCTACAATGCAGTTCTAAGAAGATCAACAGTGAGTGCCACGGCAGAGGCTAGGCAATTCGTAGGCAAACAACGGATCCTGGCTGGAACTAGGCGCTTGCCCCATCCCCCTGGGTGCATGATCCTGCTGTGGAGGTTAAGGGAAGGTCAGGTGTTATGCAGCAGTTATTTTGAGGTTGGTGGTACGAGGCACTGTCCTGACACTCTTCTGTATTCTGGTATCGGAAGCCAGGTTACTAGTGGTAATCTGCCTTGGAGTACGATTCTGAGCTGTAAAGGGACATGCAGGTTTTAATGGCTTTGAAAAGTGAGGTGATTTATAGCTTCAGTAAAACCACTGAAGTTACAGGGTTTCAGGGTCTGTTGGCTGGAGTCTTGATTTATACGGCTTAGCATGTTGGAAATCCCGTGGGTGCTCTTGACAGGAACAATGGGTATTTGTTAAAAAACCAGGCTTTCAAATGATAGCTGTCAACTATGGTAGGCATTTTACTGAAGTTTGCTCTTAATCTTCATGATTGTATGAGGAAGGAGGGTTAAAGTATTAGCTCTGTTTTACAGACAAGAATACTAAGGCTTAGAGGTGTTAGTGGCTTTTCTTAGTAAATTCTTATGCAGTCCTAGGCAATATTCATAAATATTCACAAATTAATAAACAGCAAGCAGGTAACTTGCTGGCATATACATCATTCATGGTATCAGCTTTCTTTTCCTTTCATTGAGTGTTACTAATTTCAGCTGGATTCAATTTGGTGTCAGTTGATTATGTAGTAAGGCCTTTTTTTGCCCCTCCTGAAGTTCTTTGTCAACCACTCGGGATGTTGGGTAAGCAACTTGCTTGTGATTACAGCATGAATCAGCAGCAGAAACTTCCTGGCTCGTGTTCTGACCTCTGGGCTGTGCCACCTGTCGGAGTTAGAGCTAGAAATATTGATGATGCCAAATAACTGGGGAAAAACCTGTGGCCTTTAATTTGGTAATGTGGGAAATAGAGATACACCTACTGTTAACTTGGCAGAGATCTTTTAAAGAATGTGGAACTAAGACTGGATTAAGTTTCTAAGTCTCTTATTCTTTGACTCTGGGATCCTGAGTTCTGGACTTAAGCCATTTAACTAATTGTCCTGTCCATTTTGGAATGTGTCTTGGCAGTTGTTTTTAGCTGTGGCTATGCCTCAATCTCCAGAGGACCTTTTTTTATAAAATTATTTGAAAGACAGAGACGCAGAGTGAGAGGTCTTCCATCCGCTGGTTCACTCTCCTAGATGGCTGCAATGTCTGGGGCTGGGCCAGGCTGAAGCCAGGAGCTTCTTCTGGGTCTCCTACGTTGGGTGCAGGGGCCCAAGGACTTGGGCCATCCTCCTCTGCCTTCCCAGGTGCATCAGCAGGGAGCTGGATGGAAAAGTGGAGCAGCTGGGACTTAAACTGGTGCCCATATGGGATGCCAGCACCGCAGGAGGTGCCTTAACCTGCTCTGCCACAGTGCCGGCCCCCTGAGGGTCTTTTTTAAGAATAGGGATGTATG